TTTTAAACATTAAACAAGGCACGCTAGTTTGAACTCCACGCTAACAGGGAAGTTACTGACTGGACGAATAAGACCCCTTCAGGTCATCTTTGCTCCTCCTTCCCAAAGTCTTCCCAAAAGCGGAGAGCATCCTCGCTTACTACAAAAACCCACCTCCTAAGCCCTGTTATTGAGTCGTAACTTTCGGAAGACGACAAAGTTCAACTTCAAGAGCGATCTGCAAGCACACGGCTCCAGGCCCCTGTCGTAACTCATCTCCGTAACTCAGATGGCTTTCACCATCCCAGGCGATCGGGAAAGCTTTGGTGCCCACAAAGGCATCGTTCCGCTCCGGGCTGAGCGCTGCCCCAGGCCCGGGCTGCTTCTCCCCCTGCCGCCCCGCCCCGCCCGGCTCCCTTTCACCCGCCGGTTCCTTCCCCGTTTAAACGCCAGCCCCGCTTTCCGCACACACAGACAGGGGACGCAAAAAGACAAAAACAAACCCACAAACGCCGGCGCCAAAGCGCCGACCCCACAACTCACCACCCAGGTCAGTCCCCCGCTGCCACCGCCGCCGCCTCCTCCTCCTCCTCCGGACTTTGCCATTTTCCGCCCGGTTCTCCTCGGCCGAGCCGATGGCGCACGGAGGCAGCCTCGAGGGCCGGCCCCGACCCCGCGCCTCCCCGCGCGCCCTTCGCGCTTCGCCGCGGCCCCTCAGCGCCTCCCGCCGCGGCCCGCTTCTACTTCATGCCGGGAGCGCGGCCCGGGCAGAGCAAAATAACGAGGGAGCGGGCAGCGCGGCGGAGCGGGGCCCACACAAAGCGCCCGTCCGCCACCCGCGCTCCCGCCGGAGGCCGGCAGGCGGCGGGGCAGGCCCGGCCGGGGCCCGCGGTTCCGCTAGTTTAAAGGGACGGCCGCTCCGCCGCCGCCCGCTTCGCCCCGGGCGAGGCCCCGCAGCCACAAAGGCCCCGGAGCGCGGACCGAGAGCGAAATCGCCCCGCTCCCCTCCCCCGCCTTCGCTCCCGCGCGCACCCGCCGGCGCGTGCCCGCGCGCTCCCCGCACGCGCGCACGCGCACACCACCCGCCCGGCCCCTCCTTCCGGCCCCTCCTTCCCTTCCTTTTTCCGCCCCGTCCCGCCGCGGTCGCCACTTCTCCAACTCCTCCCCTCCCCGTGCCGCCGGCGCCGGACTCCGCGCTCAGACAATGAGTGCGCGGCCGCAGGCCCGCAGCGCCGCCGCGGCCTCTCGACGCCGCCGGCCCGCTCCGAGTCCCCGCGGCCGCCTGCCAATCACGCGTGGGAGGTGGGGCGGCCGCTGGGCCGCCGGCCAATGGGAAAGGCGAGAGGGAGCAGCCGTGGCCGCGTAAGACGTCACAGCGGGTGGCAACGGGGAGAAAGGCGGGCCGCCGCCAGAGGGCGCTGCCGCGCCGCGGGGGAGGGGCGGTGTAGCGGCTGCGGTGGGGCGGGAGGCCGGGAGGCTGGGATCAAGCCGCGCCTCGGCGGTCGAACGGCCCCGGGCAGAACGGTGACGGCTGGCGGCGCGCAGTCGCGCGCTTTCCCCGTTTCCTAAGGTACGTGCTGCCGCGTGCCTGTGGAGAACCGGCTTCGCTTCGAACAGGTGCTGGGAAGGGAAGGGGTGGGCGAGCGCCTCCTCCCTCCCCGGCCACTTCGATGCTCCGGGCGCTGCCCATCCATGCAGGTGTTTGTCCTGTCCTGCCCTGGGCCGCGGTCAGCAGTCCGAGGCGTTCACCTTCTGCAACTTTAACTTTCCTGTTACCGTGGTCGCTTTTGCTGTGTCAACCTCTTCTTCTGTCCATTGTTACACTGCCTTACCCTAGGTCACACAATCTCATTCTCACATATTTGCCATTTTTGAAAAACAACAACAGCGACAACAACATCCTTCGATGAAATGTAACAGCTACTCCCTACACATGAATGGTCCTAAAATGCGCGTTATTTTAGGTGTGAGCATAAGAATTGTTTGCAGTTGAAGATGCTTTCACTTTCCACCAAAAGTAAAATTAAATACTGTGGTCATAGATGTTTATAATCACAGGGTGGCTTGGGTTGTAAAGGACCTCAAAGACCATCTCGTTCCTACCCCCTGCCGTTGGCATCCACCAGCTTAGGCTGCCCAGGGCACCATCCAGCCTGGCCCTGAGCACCTTCAGGGATGGGGCACCACAGCTTCTCTGCTGTGCCAGGGCCTCGCCGCCCTCTGAGTGAAAAATTTCCCTCCAAGATCTAATTTGACAAGCTTAAAAAATGTCTCAAAGCAAAAATCACAAAAGGAGGGATTCATAGTGAGACTGCATCCAAGTTAGTAGACAAGCTGATGTCTGAAAAAAATAAAATCAAATAGTAAAAATTCAAAGGTTTTCCTTTCACAACATGTTTTTCTGAAGTAGCAAAAAGATTGGAAACCATGCAGCTCCCTTTGAGGAGGCAGCTGTAATGTTCGAATATACCTCAAGGGAAGGATGAGAAGAACTTCTAGTAAATCTTGTTTATTTAGCATAATTTTACTCTCAGTGTCTAAGACTGTTAAACTAATATCTAAATGCTGCACAGGAGTTACAGAAAATAATAGCACGTACCTAGAAGGGGCATTAAAATGATGTACTCCTGCCCAGTTTTATGGTAGCTGCACGAACTTGAGAGTTGTAGGCTGCAGCTTCTTCTACTTTTGGCAAGATAAGAACAAACGTTTGTTTGGGTTTTTTTGCAGTACAAAAAACTGGCATTTGCAGGGCTCTGCCCAGTGCTTCAGAGTCCTGGGCTTGCTGATAAGAATTATTTTTTTGCTAACTCTCACATTTGTATGTAGGGTCAGGTAAAATGACTTAAGTATGATCAACAAGGGCAGCTACAAGTGAATATCAGAGGAACCAGAGAAAACATCTGTTCCAAGATTTCTGCATTGGTGGAGAGCCATTAGCACATAGAGCAGAAATAGTACATGAAGGCTTGTGGCTTGTTCTGTGTTCTCATTAGCTTCAGCTTTTTAGTAAATAGGCTGTTCTTAGCCTGGCAAATGGTTTTTTTGTTTGTTTTTTGCACTCATTTATCTTGAGCCAAGTAGTAGATGGCAATCTATCTTGAAGACAGTCACTTCTAACGGTCACTTCTATATGCACTACAGAAAGACAGAGGAGATTCCTTTCTTCTTGGTAGTAGGTTGTATGAAAGTGCATAGTCAGGCATGTTCAGTCTATGTGCCATGCTGGCACAAATAAAGGAAAGAATATCTGAAGCATTTCCTGCAGTCATATTTGAAATTATTTTGTCCAGGTTGCTTTTCATTTAATTCTCATCATATACTACAATACGTCTGAGACTGTGGACATAAGTCAGCGCGTTTTTGGCTTATTGTTTATAGTAGATTTATCCAGAATCTGCATGTATGTTTTGTGGTGGCATTCCTAGCCCTGGAGTACTGTGTGGCAATGCTCTTAAGAGACTACAAGGAGCTGCCTCCATGGAATTCAGAGATGAAGTAAGACAGTTTATCATGTTTCAAGTGATTTTTGCTAAAACATAGAATTAAATGTAAGCATGAGTTGAATTTAAGCACCTTAACATTCCAATAGCAGTGGGATTTCTTTGGATGCTGCCTACCCCAATTACATCCTATCAGTTTTTGTGAAATAGTTCACACATACTGAGTGCCATTTTAAATTAATAATCCACGTGAGATGTTAAACAGAAAATTCCTCTTTCTGTTCATTGGAAGCATTCTCATCTTCCCAGTGGAAACTGCAACGTGAATACAAGTACCCTACAGATTTTTGTAACAAGTGTCAACTTAAACCAGTTTTACTACTAGCTTCAGAGCTTGATTTTAGCAAACAAAGTATTTATTGAAACATTACTTTGTGCATAATGAATGTCTTAATGCACAGATCTCTCCCTTCCTGAATTTCCATTCTTTCTACTGAAGTCTAAACTGCAGGAATTATTTTAGCTGTAAGATAGCCATGTGTATGATCTATAAATATTTCTATTACAAATAATTTGCTGCTTCTATTCAAATATACTTGCTGTTTAATAAAACTTTTATTTCTCTGCAGCTTTTCTGGCACGAGACTTAAAAGGCATAAAAGTTGCCTATTTGTGAAACTATGTACGCTTACCCACTCTGAGAACATATGCTCACATACAACCACTTACCTAAATAAGTGATCACAGATGTTTTCTGCATACTGCACAGAAAAAAAAGTGTAATTTGTAATGTTCTAAAAACTTATGTCACTAAGTTGACACTGATAAAACTATACGTTTTGCACTGTATATAGTTGTAATAGTATATATTGCAGTATCAAATATTAACATTTGCCATAAAATTTCCATATTCTTAAAATGTCATTGTGATTCATTAAATAACTGATCAACTCTTGGAGTAGGATTGTGGTAGCATGATAGTAATCAACATACTCATACTTGGCTCTAACTGAATTTCAGATCATAGTTCCGTGACAGTTACGAAAAGTCTACCTATTGTTTGATCATCCTACAGTATAAACTTAGTCGAGGTTCCCATTTTCATCTTCATCCTTCATGTGCCACTTTGGAGCCAATTTTGCATAGGGTTTGGACTGTTTAAGCACTTACTCACCCTCTGGTTACTTCCCTATAACTGACTTTTTAACTACTGCACCTTTGTTATGGCGTGGAAAACTTTCTGGAGTACTGTGAGCACTGCTTATGAGGTCTGGCATTTCTGGACCTAGCAGAAGGCCCACGTGAGGTTGCAGAAATGTTTCTGTGTTAAAAGAAGGGATCCCAGGGCACCATGCCTGGATTTCCCCAGCACATAGCTGAGATGACTGCACTGATCCACCCTACTTTCTTCTGGGCCACATCATTATCCCTGCTGCATGATAGCAACTTTCTTAACATTTAATATTTATCTGTGACTAGAAATGCATTAGCATCAAAGTCCATTTAGGCTCCTTACCATTAGTTTGGTCTTAAATTATTCTTGGGGGGCAATGACAAGATAAAGATGACAGAATAGATATGTTTCCAGAGATCTGTTCTAAACATACAAAGCAGAGAAACAGACAAGAGTAGTGTTACTTAGCTGAGAGGCAGACTTGTGCAATTACTTGGAGACTGGGGATCACCAACTGCATGATGGCATTGCTAATTAGATTGGAGATCGTTTGGAGAATGCAAGCATCCAGTGAAATTCTGGAGATGACACACTCTTCAGAAGATCTCTGTCTCCTGAGCTCATGGTAAACAGTGAAGCATGCTGGACTTTCCTCAACTAGGTAGCTTTTCTGTGTGATAAACACATCTCTCTTTCCTCCTGTCCCCATGCATCCAGTCCTCAGAAGAGCAATTTCTTCTTTCAGCTAAGGCATATTAGTTTTGTTCCTAGCAGTTCACCCAGCACTTTTTGGGCAAGAAAATATGCCCAGTGAGACTATCCTTGCCCCTCCAAAGTTCCCATAAAAAGTGATTTGCTAGCCTTCCAGTCAGAAGAAATGCACAGGATATCCAGAAAGGATATCAAGGCTGCTTGCTGATGAAGTCAAGCTCATTCTTAGGATGACAAGAAGGTGACAGAGTTGTTACTATAGAAGGCACACATGGGCATACTGAATTTGTGGAGAGAGAAGTGATAACTTATAGCCAACAGAAAATCTCACCATTACAGGAAATGTCTGGAGATAGAACTTTGCTCTTCCCAGCTAAAATCTTATCCCTTCTGATAGACCATCTCCAGTTTGTTACACGATTAACAATTAATGGGGGAAAACAGAAATGCCAATTTTTCATGCATGGCTTTACTTTACCACCGGTTTTGGTGTGGGTTTTTTTTGTTTGTTTTTTTTGTGTTTTGTTTTGTTTTGTTTTCGTTTTTGTTTTTGTTTTTGTTTTTTACCAGAATTGATGTCCATGTCAAGATGTGTATTTGCATTTCCTTCTTCAAAATTCAGTTGTGTGGTTCCAAGAAGAGGAAAGGCTAGACCAGAAAGATGGTATAGCCTCTGCTTAAAGCCACAGAAACAGAGCATGTCATAAAGATGTGGCAACTGCACCCGTGCAGCTCATACAGAGGCCAAAGGAAAAAAAAAGACTTGTACAATCACTTTTTTTCAGATCTGTTATGCAACAATTTCTCAAGCGGCCTAATTTATAATAAAACTCAGCACCAGCAGTTCCTATTTATTTCAATACAAGTTGTGTAATTCAGCAAGGATTTGAATAACTGTGTTAAAAAGTGGTTAATGCTAGCTGCTCCACTTTTCAGTTTCCACTTGAAGTTCATACTAAGCAAAGATGATCAGAAATGCATTTTAAAGATTTTGTTATCCCTTAGGTTCTTTAGAACTACAGTATTTCTGCCTTAAATGTTTTTCCTCAAGATATCATGCACCCATCCCTAGTTATTTGTTTCTGTGGTGCTTTTTCTCCTCAGCATTCAGTTTTTGCTGTATTTGTTAGGAAAACAGGAAAAGAAAATATCAAATGCATTTTTGTATGTTTGGGCCATGGTCTCTAGTTCCCTTTTCACCCAACTTTCAGGGCTTACCGTTTTCCACCACCTAGTTATGTTGCTTTCATTAACTTCTGTATATTCTTCATGCTCATTAGCATTCTCTTGTTCTTCTTCAACTAAATTGAACACATTACCTCAGTCAGCAGTTGAAGTAAATGCATCCAGATCGGTGGTTCCCAAATCCGTCTTGCTCACTACCCACTGCAGCCATTGTAGGTAGCAGTAGCAGAAGTTGCTGTATCAACAGTTTTCAGTATCAGCCAGGACAATGTGCTTGGCTACTCAGGAATTATTTACGCCGAGCTTTGCTTCAGCATGTTAGAATTTGGGAATTTTGGTCTAGGTCATCCTCAGCCCGATGTGTATACAAGAGCATCTCTCCTTTTCTGAGAGCCTATAAAAGCTGAATCCTGATCGTGGCATTTCTTAGACGCAGGATTCCCTGCTGTCACCTATGAGAGGGAGGAAAACAACCTTAAGTGACTTGGAATATATATGCTTAAACACTGATTGAATTCATTTAAGGTTGTCATAGAAAGTTACTAATCTACATGATAAGAGTAACTTGATTATACCCATTCTGAGTAACTTAAAGAATAATGGGAAGCAGTAGCCCTCATTTTATACATTTCCTTTTGAAATCTACTGTGCATTTAACTTACAATACAGTGAAGAAAAACATTTTTTCACTGATGCAGTTCTTTCAGAATATTCCTACATTTCTTGCAAGCTTTGAGGAAAGAGCCTTTAAAAACTATTTTAAGTTTTGACAGTAAGCATAAAACAAAATATGAATAAATCCAGTATTCCTTTTGTTTTACAATAACCATACTCTGCATTATTTTAAAACCAATTTAGCAAAGATCCACTTTGTGATATACTGTGTTCTTACATAACAGGAAAAAGATTTTTTTTCCTTGTACTGTGTCTCATAGTAATATGCCAAAATTGTTACCATTCTGCTACAGAACTCTAATAGCGACTCACCTTTTTCTTGAGTTAGATGGCTTTTGCTGAGCTTTGTTATTCCACATATATCCTTCTGCTGGAACCTTTTATATCAGAAAACCTTTGAAAAGTGGGAGTAGCTCTTTAAATTTATCTGGAAGCAGTGGGGTTTCTTTTACAAATGGCTGTTGCTGCTCACGTAGTTTTATTTGTTTTATTTCAAGGTAGTAAATGCTATGAATTTGTCAAATCTTCATGAAAAGACAGGGCATCCTATCCATAAATTTCCAACACAGTATCAACTTCTGTTCATTCAACATTTTCCTTCCTTTAACATCTCTTCCAAAGTTAGAAAATGCAATTTATGCGTCAATGTATTTTCTAACATTTTTGGAAACTTCATTTGGTGCTGAGTGTCAGAATCCTACTTACCTTGTAGCAAGTTCTAAAACGTTAGCTCTTTAACACAAAGGGACAGATGTTCTTACAGGTTCCCTGTGTACCTGTACTTCTAGAGACATACCATATACTCTGAGTACCACATTTTTTCTGCTGAGATCATCTCTTTCTTGTGAATCAGAATGGAGAAGCAGGGAAGCTCCTAACATCTTACCCTTAGTTTATTGATAAGGTATTTGTTAGTTCCAAAGAAATTCATGTGCATGTTTTTGTTGCTTTTTGTTTGTTTCTGATCACTCCTCTCAAAATGCTGTGAACCAAATTCTCTAGGATGTAAGCAACAATGCTGGAGGACTGCACTAACATAAGGAAAAGGACTGTGAAATCACTTGAAGCCACAGAGCAGCTCAAGTTTGAGAGATTATTTAGAGGTATCGTTCTTGGTGATATTAAATGCTCAAAGTAGAACATAAAACATTTTTTTTCATATTTCTATTCAGAACAACTGTTTCCTGAAATGATTTATATATATATATAAAATGGTGAAGCACAGTGTAGCAATTACAGCATCAGCTCTTGGAGCACCACAGACAGTACAGCTACAAGCAATAGAGGAAGGCATGTTAACCACCCCGTGAGAACGCAGCACAAGCTACAACAATCAAACAGAATGCAAGGCACATATTTAGCTCTCAATTGCTTCACCAAACCAGCACGGCTGCTTCCAGCCACAAAGCCAAATGGCTGTATGGCATGGCACAGCACGCAGCGCTCCCAAACCTCCCATTAGGATAAACACTCCCACTGGGCACACATGCAAAACACAGCACTCCCGAGCCTCTCTTCAACTTCTGTTTAATGTTGAAATCTTCCCTGCTACTTTATGATTTCTTATTAAATGCTGCATTTCACAAACAGGACGATTGCAGTATCTGTCATCCTGCCCTTGATCTATGCTAGTCCCACGTTGTTCATAAGGGGCTGCCACGCAATTGGTAAGGTATGTTTCCCCCCAGGGTTGCTAACTATGCCTGGGCCAGGCCTTGTTTAACAGGTTCTGTAAGAGAGTAACATGAAGATGCAAGCAAGTGAAACTACTTTTCACATTCCCTCCAAATTAGCATGTTAATATGTTGGATGCTGTGCTTTGCATTTTCCCTCATGCAACTCTTTGCAGATTATAAAAAAGCAGTAGTTAGTCCTTCAAAAGGAAAGCAAAAAAATACTCTTCCTAATTCCTTATGTGCTTGTATCACCCTACAAAGTTTAAGAACATTGTTGGAAGTTTAACAACATTAATATCCTTACAGCAGAAATCTGTAGCATAGCATGTAAACAACATTTAATCCTTCATTTGGTTCTTTAGTTTTCTTTTGCAATTTCTACAGCTGTCCTTCTTTTAATTTTTCTATGAGATGCCCAGAAGAATATTCCCCATACAGTCTGCTGTTTTATTCTATTGGGAACCTCACTGCCATTTTGAATTAAATACATAACATGCTAAAACATAAGGTTCTTACCTTGCTGATCCTTCCCTTAGAAGGACAGCTGTTTCTCTTTCCCCTGCCTTGTGGACCCCTTACATCCTCCCTTACCTTTCAGATTTCTGATGTTAGTCGACCTGCTGGTAACAGCAACAATACTAGGAACATGGGAGAATAAGAGAGTGAAGAGCAATTACTGAGGGTGATACTGGAATGATACTAGCTGAGGATTCAGTTGTTCTGTTGTGAATATTCTGTGAGTACAGAAATGCTGCAGACAAAAAGCTGGACAGTCTCCAGCCACAAAGGTCAGCAAATTCAGAGGGAGACATTGAAGGAAACTCACTCAGCAGACTGTGTTACTCTTATCCTCATGGCTTACTTTCTCTCATTGCCCATTAGAGAATAAACAGCAGCTCTACTGAGCTGAAGAATGCACGGAACACAGTGCTGGCATCTGAACATCCTATACCTTACCTTGTGACTCACTGAAAGTTGCCTTGAACTCTGTTGAAGAAGCTGCTTTCAAGGATGAAACCCACTGATTTAGAAGGGAAATTTAGAAGGATTTTTAATAGTGAAGAAAACAGGAAGGGATGACACGGGAGGTAACTGATACCACACATTGATCAAGGAACATCTGAAACTGTAGAAGGGCTAACAGAAGTATTTGGCTAAATCTAAGATAGTCCAAAAGATGAGTTCATTGTAGAGTAAGTTCATCTTACTACTGATGTAATGACTCCTACTTCACAGAGCTGTTTTTCTAATGTTCTTTCTAATATGCATGAAATACAAAATCCATCCATCAGTACTGTTAGTAGTGACTCCTGCTTGACAAGTAACAATGTGTTACTGGAGTGCCTCTTCCATACAACCTTTTAAATAAAATGTTCTCTAGTTATGGAATTGATGTTCAACTCTTGGTGTACAAAGGTTCTAGCTGACTTCCACTGACTTTGTCATCCATCAGTAATTCTGCTCTTTAAAAACAGATTTTTCTTTTCTTACCCAGTCTTTGCATCACTGTTTCACTAGTACACATTCCCTCCATGCTCTGTCTTTTTCACTGAATATTTACCAAGGGCTGAATTTCCTCACAAGATTGGTAATGAGTACAGTATGTGAAATAAATGCAATAAGATACCAAGTTTTAAAAAAGCACATGTAATCTGGCAAGTGCTCGTTTCTCTTCAGCGTCTGTTTCCTATCATGAATGTTGACTGCATGAGCCAGAAATGCATGCAGATCTTCCTGTCTCTTCTGAAGTTTATATATTTGGGCTGAATTAACGCCCATTTCTTCATATCATTTTATCATCCAAGAATCCATTTTCAGCAATAAACTAATGTACATATATGAATTACTGGTGACTAAACTTCTAGTGACAAAACTATAAAGTTGCAGAACATAGCTAGTTGGTGTAGAACCAAATAAAATTGCAGCGCCCTTTTCACTGAATGCAAACTCTAGGTTTTTATCCTTGTTTAAAAAAAAAAAAAAGGATTTGTAGTAAAATAGAAAATTCTTGGCCTCTCCCCTTTCCCTCTTCCCCCCTAAAAAAAAGAAAACTACCTCAAATATTGACTTTGAGTTAAAGAAATCACTGGTATCAGTAGCAATATTGTCAGGGACTGAGACAACTTCTTATGAAGGAAGTTCATGCTTAGTTCTGACAACTGAGCAAAAAATTAATTAATTTGCATTCATAAGGCTCCATTTTAATTCCTTCTAGAATGATTTGATTTATAAAAATTGAAACAACTGACTTTGCTTGATAAGCAAACATCAAATAATGCAAATTTGGCATTCATTTCTCAGCATTAACTTGATCTTACATTTTTCTGTCCTCAGATATGAAACTTAAATCACAGCCCCCAACACTCCCTGTTTGTACTGCTATAGCCACTGTTTTTGTGGAATTCCAGTTTGTTACTTTACAATATTCCTTCTGCCTGTTTTCTTTGAAACCATCTTTGCTAACTGAAACCGTAAGCATACTTTGCCAGGAGCTCCTTACTTTAACAGAACAAAAAAAGCCACCCGAATCAGAAACAGTTTTCTGACATGTTTCTTACTACCAGAAAACAGAATACCTTCAGAATTCTTAATGCAGTCCATCAAGGGGCATTTTCCTTTTGGCCAATAAAATTTTACATCTTTTGGCCAGTGTTGAACTTCATTTTGAATGTATCATGTATTTCACTGATGCTTTGGAGAAAAGCAAAAGCTGCTACAGTGCAAGCATTCACATACGTATTCTGTTCCATTACCTTCACAAGGGTAATAGAAGGAAGAGGCTGTAACCTCTTTCCATTCTGTACGTTCCTGCTCTTTCCATCAGCTCCAAGAGCCTGTTATCAACTGTTCCACCTACCTTACTAAGATCTTGCTTAAACATTGTTCTTGGATGCCTTTATTTTCTTTCATTTGCTGCTTTCCTTATAACTGCTATACAAGGGAGTCTATATGTTGTTATCTGAAGTGTGCATCTAAAATAAGTCCGCTACTTCCTCCGGATTGTGACAATTAAGCTGTTAGCTGATTGTCTGGGAGGGAAAGTATGATCCCCTGGTGCTTCAAAGACGTAGGAAACATACATTACCAAAATTCTAAAGATATGAAATAGCACACAGAATTGTGCAGTAAAAGGAACAAATTAACAGAACGTGCTTTGAAATATTACACTTAAGAATCATAGAATGGCCTGGGTTGAAAAGAACCGCAATGATCAGAGAGGTTTCAACCTCTCTGCTATGCACAGGGCTGCCAACCGCCAGATCAGGCTGCCCAGAGCCACATCCAGCCTGCCCTTGAATGCTTCCAGGAATGTGGCTTCCACAGCCTCCTTGGGCAACTTGTTCCAGTGTGTCATCACCCTATATATAATATATATATATTCCTCCTTTTATAAGATATTCAGACAGTCATTGGCTGTGCAGTGATTGGACCCAGTCGTTACCATCTGTGCCAGCACTCAGTCACACTGAAATCTCACACTCATTAAAAATAGCGTTCTCTTAAAGGTGTTTGTTACAATAGGTCACTAAATACTTTCTTTCCCCCAAAAAAGAAACATTTTCCAGAATAAAGAAAGGAATTAATCTACATTAAGCAGGAGGAGTCTGTTGTTAATTTTAAAATGATTTTGACAGCTTAGAGTAATAATAAAAATTAAGAAAATGGATGTACCTTACATCTTTTACGGCTTCTCAGTAATACTGTCCCCTACTCTGAGCACTTTTCTCAGTAACCTAAATACAAATGGACAAATAGGAAAATAACTCAGTGTAAAGGGTCACTAGCTTATGAGGAGTCTATTGCATTATTTTTCCTCGTTAAATGTTATTAAGCCCTGCCATTTTTGTTGGTTTATGGGTATCATCAATTTTAATGAGTATTGCTTTTTTTTTTTTTTGCTGAGTTTGAGCATCTTTATCCCTTTCGTTTCCTTGCAGAATATAAAAGTGAATAAACTAACTTAATTTCTGTCACAGAATATTTATCATACAGTAGCAATCCTCTATATAAATTAAAAGCAAATTAACATGTATTTTAAATTAGATAGAAAATGTGTAGAAAAAAAAAGACAGCACTGCAGAATCTGAAGTAGGCTAACCATAAAATAAGCTAGTAGCTTAACTACAAAACTTAAGTAAAAAAAAAAAAGGCAAAGTGCAGGAATCAACATAAAAGTCTAAACAGAGGAAAACAAACAAACCAAAAATGGTCCTCTTATTCAGACAGGAAGTCACATTTATACTCTTATTCACAACACCTATAAACATAAATTACAGATACTTGAGTCTGCTTGACCTTGGCTTGTTACTTCACCATTCCTAGGTGCCATATTATAGGACAGGAGATCTCAAAACTTTGCTCCAGTAGCTCCTTGCTTCTTGAAACTAGTAACTTCAGAGAAGAAGCTGTACCAAACTAGTTAAGACTTCTTAAGTCAAACTGCTTATAATAGGAGCAAACCAGATGTTCGAACCCAAAGTGGGAACATGAGATTTAAAATAAATATCTGTATTTACTAAATGCTACATTTTGACAGATAGTAAGAATACACGATAATTTAACTGGTAGCATACTTTCATTTTTAGCTTAAGCAACTGAAGGTAAAAGAGTGTGTGGACACAGATAAGAGGACAGAGATCCTGGTATCTGCTGGGCACAAACTCTGTCCCCCCTTGGTGTTTCTTTGTTTTGTTTTAAGCTGTAAGAACTCTGTAAATGGGTGTTCCCAGCTGCTGGCAGCCATATGTGCTGCCTACCATCTGTTTTCATTCCACTGCGCTATGGAGACAAACATACTTTATTTTTAGTGTTCTACATTTCCTGATGTTGCACACAGTGTGGTTTAGACATAAGACATAACCCCTATTATGTTAAAAATCTGTGGAAAACTGATGAATAAAGGCGACATCACACAAGATCAGATAACTTCCTTTACCTGCATCTTAGTGCAAATACATAATTTATAATCAAGATTGTTTACTTGATTCTTGTATTCTTTTTCCCTGCACTGCCTATAAGGGGCTTCCATAATGTTTTAAATATTTTCTTTCCACCCTCCCAGCAGGTTCCTTGAGTATAGAAAATTACTCCTAAAATTTCTTGCACTGCCAACTAGCGTTTGCTATTCTGCACGCAGCATTCAGACTTTAAACAGGATATGAAGAAATAAACATCCGTATGATCAACTGTAGAGACAACAGAACGATAAAACACAATTGTTTAAATGCTACATGTGCCCTGATCAACATCACCCACAACTCAATTACAATCGTAGCATTGCCAGCTTAACTTAATATCCACGCTTGTTGCAGTGAAATAAATATTGAAAGAAGAAATACACACCTTTAAAACAGCTCACGCATGAAAAGACTGAAAATGCTCACTGCTAACAGAGTACTTCAAAAGTCATCTAAGGGGGTTTAATTTTTTCTTCTTCAAATCAGGTCTCTACTACTTCAAATCAGGTTTCTACTCAATAATTAATTCCTAGAATAAGCACTTTTATTCACTGCATGTGATCTTACAAGTACAGAAAATACTTATTGTTTAACTAGATTAGTGGAACTTTTTTTTTTTAATTCATTCAAATAGTTTAATAATGAACATTACCTGCTCTCCTTCTTGAGTGGATGACTTTAATAAGCTATCTGAAATTATTACTCTTCCCCCAAAGGTTCCAACCAAAACTGTGAGAAACTTACTTTTTTAATAGTAGTAACTTTAATAACTACTATTAAAATTATTCTGCCTTCTGTTTTCAAATTATGAAGTGCAGTTAAACTCCTTTACAGTTCCTGATAGTCCTCTATTTTAAGTAATAAAATAAAGGAAATAACTTGTCACAGTTACGAAACAAAAAGGTGAGGGTTTTTTTCTTATTACTTTCTTCCATTACTGCATTAAGACTAGACTGTAGTACTTATTTGTTTGATTCCCACTCAGATTTTGAGCTACCATTTAGCTAAAACTAAAGCAGGAGGAGTTTTGAATGGAAATGGCCAAATTCACTTGGCATTAGTCAAGTACAGACCAACATCCTTCCATACAGCTTCCTGTCTGTCTCTCAATCGTCCTGTTAAGGGAGTGAGACTCCCTCTTTATTCCCTCATTAACTGCCAGTTTGTTTTCCAAGGAAAAGCATATCATCTACTACGAATCATTCTGGCACTCCTGAGCTGCTGTAATCTACTATTTTAAGATGTCATTGGCTTAACTTCAGTGCCTATATTCACTATGCACGTGCAGTTTTTTTTAATAGTACCCAAACAGCCTAATAGATGCTTGATTTGTTCCAACACAAATGACTTTTGAGAACAGTTTCAAGTCAATACAATGGTTGGAAGAGTCAGATTTAAAAACAAAAAGGAAGAAGAACAAAAGAAAGAAAAAAAGCTTTAAAATCACACTGACCTTAGGGATATCATCCCTAATTTTCATTTATTTTAAAATATAATAAATTTTCATTTATTTTAAAATAAAACTTGGCAAAATAAAGTTTGGCTGGAAGTGTGGATCTGCCTGGGGGTAGCGAGGCCCTACAGAGGGATCTGGACAGGCTGGAGAGCTGGGCTGAAGCCAATAGGATGAGTTTCAACAAAGCCAAATGCCGGGTCCTGCACTTCGGCCACAACAACCCCAGGCGACACTACAGGCGTGGGGCAGTGTGGCTGGAGGACTGCATAGAGGAAATGGACCTGGGGGTATTGATTGATGCTCGGCTGAACATGAGCCGACAGTGTGCCCAGGTGGCCAAGAAGGCCAATGGCATCCTGGCTTGCATCAGAAACAGCGTTGCAAGCAGGAGCAGAGAGGCGATTGTTCCCCTGTATTCAGCACTCGTGAGGCCGCACCTCGAGTACTGTGTCCAGTTTTGGGCCCCTCACTGTAAGAAAGATATTGAGGCCCTGGAACGTGTTCAAAGGAGGGCAACAAAGCTGGTGAGGGGTCTGGAACACAGGCCATATGAGGAGAGGCTGAAGGAGCTGGGAATGTTCAGCCTGGAGAAGAGGAGGCTCAGGGGAGACCTCATTGCTCTCTATAACTTCCTGAAGGGAGGTTGTAGTGAGCTGGGGGTCGGCCTCTTCTCTCGTGTCATTAGTGATAGGACCAGGGGGAATGGCTTCAAGCTACGGCAGGGGAGATTCAGGCTGGACATGAGGAAGTATTACTATTCAGAAAGGGTGGTCAGGCACTGGAATGGACTGCCCAGGGAGGTGGTGGAATCACCGAGCCTGGGGGTGTTCAAGGAAAGACTGGATGTTGTGTTGAGGGACATGGTTTAGTAGGAGCTATTGGGAATAGGTGAACGGTTGGACTGGGTGATCTTTTAGGTCTTTTCCAACCTTGGTGATTCTATGATTCTATGAAAACTGTAGCTCAAACTTTGTATTATAATCTTATAATAGAACTGCTCTCATGTGTTCCAGCCATAGCCTTCTTTAAGTTCTCTGGTAAAGACTATCTAAGCAGAACACTCAGTCCATACTTTATTCACAGCACTGCTACATCTGAAATTTCCTGGGTGGTGGTTTTATTGTACCCAATGCAAAGAAACTTAAACATTGTATACAGTAACAGAAAATTGTATGCACTTTTACACCAAATTTGGGAACGGTATTCAAAGCACCTCAAGACAATAGTTTAAAAAATGATTTCAACACCTACACACTACATAAATCTTTTTAAAGGTGCATAGATTTGAATTTATATTGTAAAAGAGTATGTATAATGAATAATCTTTTTCATAGAAAAAAATCTGATATTCATTTTTAAGTCTCAATTTCACATCACAAGCCAGGACAAAATCTTAGGTACATAATGAACATTTCTTTCAAAATTAGTCTACTATCATACCTAAAAAATTTCTAAGTATTCAACTTAGATAATAATTAAACGTAAGTTTAATACTTAAACGCATAACAAGATCATTTTAAGATTGCTTTCATATTTCTCTTAATTTCAGCTAATTATCACACAAAATCAGATTTATCCTTGAAAATATTTGTCTTCTATTAGTTTTTAAAATATTTTAAAATCATCACAATGCATTTGTTGTAATCAAAGAATGGAATTCACATTGTCTTTGCAAGAAGTAGATTAAAAAAACAAAACAAAAACCCCAATAACCAGTAAGCCAACCACAAAACTCCAAATTAAAACTGCTCTGTGCTCCTATGATCACATTTTGGTTTCTAAGAAATGCTTTCTTTTCTTTAGAGTTTAAGAAAAGAGCATTAATTTAATGGTTCAATCCTTAATTTTTGAGTTTCAAAGCAAAGAAAGCTTTCATTGTGATGGTTACCTATTCAGTACCCATGCAGTTTCCATTTGGCAAAATGGAAGGACTGAAATAGGAATAAGCTGTCTGCAGGATAGTCAGGAACTGCCAACCAAGACTTCGTGCTGTTTCCACAGTATGACGTCTTAAAGAGAATTTCATTGGATTCCTTGACTTCAGGTTCTCAGAAGTCAGCAAGTTTTATAATCATCTCCAAGCAATTTTCTCCACATCCTGCTAAGTTGTTTCTGAACAGCTGTGTGTGTTGCCACGCAGCTTTACCATCCCCTCCACTTAGAGTTGCTTCCAGTATAACTTCTGTTGCACCACAAAAATCTGAATAGGAGGAGAGATTTTCATCTATTGGAAGAAAAAGATAAACAAGTAAGAGTCCGCTCCAAACAGCATACAGTGCTAGAACACATTGAAAGGGTAATGTGTCATGAGTGTTTAAGAATCTGAGTCAAAACTGTACAAATTAATTTATCAGCAGCAGAAAAGAGACAGCTGCAGAATTTTAGTTTATTTTTCATACTCAGAGGATCTAGTCAAGATTGACGCCACCACTCATACAAACATCTATTCCTCCCTGTAAAACACACAACTTTTATTCACTGTGTTTTTGCTAACCCCACTATGCTGCAAGTAGTATTTAGATTACTAAAACTTGCTTTGGTTCCTTTTTCTCTGCCAGTTTTGATTAAATACAGTATTTTTTTGAGCTTGTTAAGAAAGACTGAATTAGAAATGTCAACGTATGT